GTGAAAAACTTTCGTTGGACGAATTTTCTTGTAAACTTCATATTTACTGAGATATCGCACTTTGACGCACTAATGAGCAACCCTGTATATATAATGTATAGTTAATATAATACAGGGTATCGCAATAAGGGTGGTAAGCGGCTGTATCTTGGAAAGTATGTGTTGTGGAGTGATCGAAAAAAAAAATTGGTAAGAAACTTGAAGAAAATAATTTGCTGGAAATTATTTTGAAATTTTCCAGATGACCACTAGATGGCGTAATTGCAAACGGTATTTTAAAAAGTCGATTTTATACAGAAATTGTTCCGATAAGTGAAGCAACTAGTAAGTTTAGTCAAAAGACCATAAAAAAGTTTACCTAGGTATAACACTATGCTGTAGCACTAAAATAAACATTAAGGTAATAAATGTTAAAAAAAATTCCGTCATTCGTCATACACATATCTATATCATATCATATCTATTCTGCGGTTAGTGTCAAATACAGCACATTCAATTTCGGCTTGTGGAATTCTATCATATTTGCCCGAGTTGTGGGAACAGTTTTGTAAACTATATCTTAATCTTCACCAACGATAAAACTCCAACACAGTTAGATATCTTGCTGGCCACGGGAATAGACCTTTTCCTATCCAGCAGTTGCGAAAAGTTCTATCTAAATGGTCGCGTACATTTCTTGAATAGTGAGCAGGACATCCATCTTGCTGAAACCACATGGTTCTTCTTGTCTCCAGTGAGACATTTTCTAACAGTCCATTAAGTTCATTTGTTAAAAAATGTAAATAATTATATCAATTGACACTCGTTGAAAACAAAAGGACCTATTATTTTGCTTTCAACAATGCCACACCAGACATTCACTTTCCACCTATTTTGACGATCAACTTGTCTCAACCAGTGGAGATTCTCAGTAATGCAAAAAGTGGCTTGATCAGCCCACAAAATGCGCGATAAAGCCTGATTATTTTCTATGTTAATTTGCTTTAACCAGTTACAAAAATTTAATCCTGCATCATAATCGATCTCGGAAAGTGCTTGATGCAAAGAAACGTGATATGGATGAAAGTTATTGTCAGCTAAGGTGCGATGAATGGTGTCTTTTGTTACTCCAAGGTGCAAAAAAAATGGTCTTGTATTTAACTGCGGATTGACTTGTGCATAAGCTCAAACATTAATAACGTTTTCCTCAGTCCTTGCCCTTTTTCTTCGCGAAGGACCATGTACGACGTGGACACTACCAGTTTCACGAAACCGTTTTGTTAGCCGCTGAATTGTTCCTCTCTCAAAAAAACTTCTACGTATGTATTAGCATACTCTCGTTCTGTCAAACATGCATTTTTAAATAATTGAAAATAAATTTTAAACATATCGTAAATTTCAGAATTGACGAAATTTATTTTAGAGTGAACTTACTGACAAATAATAATACAAAATGTCAAATAATGTAAAATATGTATAACTTGTTTTATTTTTTCTTCCAAAGCCTACTTTAATTATTTGAATTAGGTTAACCTTATTTTTTTTCAAGTATTAAATCGGTTCCAAAAATTATTTTGATATGCGGTTTTTGCGCTTTGGTTCATTTTTTTGTTCATTGTGCTTTCAAATGCGTGTCAAATAACTTGATGGTAGCATTTGAAATTTTTGTGAAAAATTAAAGCAAATAAATTTTTTCGAATAGCGGCTTTTTCAAACACGATTTAGATTGTTTTCATATCAGATATTTTTTAGTTTTTATTGCTTTTTATCCATTAAATCCCAATTTCATTAAAATGTCGTTAGTTGTTAAGCCATTAACGAACGATTTAATTACTTAACTTAAACGAGGGTGCTTGCAACGTATTCAAGTAAATTTCCAAGGACTTTTGCCGTACCTGATATTATTATCTAACTCAAAGTACAGCTGAAACCTTTTACTTGCTATGCTTCCTAAAACTGTTCTCTTGTATTTCAGAGCGGTGGAGAATCGATAGATGTTCATCAGATTCGTTCAGTTAGGGTTTCACGAGGAGCGCGAAATATACCGAAAGCCTTTGAAATATTCACAGAAAATCAAACATTGATTTTGAAGCCAAGCGATGGCAAGAACGCTGAAGAATGGGTTCAGTGTTTGAGTATCGTAGTGGCACATTCCCGAGAAACGGTTGGCCAGAATGGCAAAGAAAATTCCAGAGGCAAAAGCAACAGTTTACCTGCAAGAGGGCTTGGTGGAAGTAGGAGTCATATTTAGAGTCTCTAAATAGCGTAAGTTAAAACCATTTCAATTTTCGAATGAGATAATCTATAAATCATTGTGAGTGACGCGCTGTGTATGAATATTCATTATGAGTGAAAAGATACATTCCAGAATCTCGATATTCTAGAGGACTATATTAAGAAAGTCCACAATCTGTGGAATTGGAGATTCTTTCACCAGGTTAATTTTCTAACGGGACAGCTGTGTCTTCATTAATTATAAATAAGCAATAGAACACTTCTCGCTTTTTCATATGAAACATCTTACATGCAAGATAATGACAGAAGGATAAAGAGCTTCTTTTTCGACAATCTTGTGATTTAAATTTTGAGAACCAAACATTTTTCTTGGTTGTATATGTTGCACTATATGATTTGTATTTTCTTTATTTACTTAAAATATATATATAAACTGAAATTGAAAAGATCGAATGCGCGATGAACTAATTGCTATTGATTTAATATATTATAATTATGCATATTGCAACACTAATAAGATTTGAACTTTTACACTTAGATTAGTAGAAGCTGTGATTTTAAAAACAAAAAAACACTCATTTGGTACATTTATTATTGATTAAATATAGGGAGGAGGTTAATGGCTGTTATTCAACGGGACAGAAATATAATAAGGCACTCGACATATTCGGCAACGTTAAACTATCCTAATGTACTTAACTAACCTAACTTAAATCATATCCGATTTGCTTCAACTTGAATCATACACCCTTAAATTACTATTTATTTTATTGCCGAAATGATTACGCCGGTATGCATAGTTGATCTTCGGCATTTTAGCGGTATAACCGAGCATGCGGCCGTCGACTGGAAAGCGACGGGTTTTTGATGCAAAGTTGTTCTTCGTTAGATGGAATCGTCGACGATTCTCCCATATAATGAGCATGCGCAATATCATTATCCTGATGGCCCGCGCCGTCCGCTTTTGCGGTGATATTACTAATTTACCGATAAAAGTTCGGCATTGCTTTTAGTTAGCTCGTAAAGTCATTAAAGTCGGCGCTGGAACGCCGTCAAAGGCAGAAAACATATCATACGATATTGCATAAATAAATCGCAAAATAACCAAGAAAAGAGATATTAGCGGTGAAAACCGTTGAGAAAATCAACCAATTGGTTCCGAAACCTCTTTTGTAAACATTAAAAAAATGTAATTATCGATTTGTGATTTGCTCCTGGTTATTGATTAATAGCAACAACACATTTTGCACGGTTTCTTTTGAGGAACGAAAGCGTTTTCTGAAATCGATTTCAGTAATATTCTCTAAGGTATTTTTCCTATCTCGAATATTCCCGAAAATAATACAATTATTATTTGAATTGCATCCCACGCTTGTTGATGTTTTCTTTACTTACCTTTGTGGTATGTTCATATCTAATTCCAAGTGCGAATTATCCCGATTAACACTGTACAATGCATCGAGATTGTTCGTTATCTATTTAAAACAAAAATAGTATAAACAACACGAGAAGTTGAGAAGTTTCGCTCACAAAAGAGCTTTGGCTATCGCTCGGAGATGCCTATATTCTGCAGGGTGAGTTTTTTTAAAGTGTTACAAGGCTACGTCCTATAGAAAGAGTCCTAAGAAATAGGTACGGGGACGTATTTTAACATATGTCTTATTATTCTATTCAAGCGCCCTCTGTGAGAGGGAAAGGCAACATTAAAATTTTAAATGGAATGATATATTTTTGATTGTGAAATTTAAGTCAACAAAAGAAACTTTTGTATATATTTTGCATATATTTTGTATTGTGAATTTAAATCAACACAAAAAACTGTGTATGTGTAGACTTTTTATGTCAATTGATCACTTAATTCCAGAATTATGACGTGCAACATAAATTTAAAACAATAAATTTATTAAATTATGACCCGACTAATAGTAATCAAATATGTTTCAGGAGATGTTCAAAATGCCTGCCTTCAACTTCCAAACACTTTACTACTCGATTTTTTAAAGAATTTTGAAATTTGAAAAAACTACTGACTTACATGTTTAATTGTATTGAAATTCAATAAAACTTAATTTATCGATAATTGTTTAACCAGATGAGTAAACCATGCAAAAATTTGTACACATACGTAGTTTTTCATGTAGAATCAAAAATATATCATTTCATTTAAAATTTCAAATTTGGCTTTACCTCTTAAAGAGGGCGCTTGAGTACAATAGTAAAAAATATGTTTAAACATGTCCCCCTACCTATCTATTACTTTCCAAAATGTTTATAAATATATTGCAATCTGTGTCTGAGGTATAGCCTTGTAACACTTTAAAAAACTCACCCTGTATATACTTATATTTAACTTTCTCTTTGCTAGTAAATAAAATAATCTTTTATTTACTCTATGGTTCATCCGATCGGCTGTGCATCTAATATTGCCTCCGGTGAAAGTCGGGAGGCCGGCGCATCGTAAAAGATCGACTATGCATACCGGCCTGTTTTCGCTACAAACACGTGCGTTAATTCGAGTTAATATATTCGCATATGCATAATTATTTATTGTTTGAAACATTCCAATTCCTGACTGTATTCCCAATTTTAATATAAACAATGTTCCTGGGTTTCAGTCATTTATTCACAAAGTTTCGAAGATCACAATTTAGTCAATTTTCTTAAAAACGTTTCGCTGTTTTCTACCATCGTCAGTTTGTGATGTGTCAGAGTAAAAAAAAATGATGGTGGAAAAACAGCGAAGCGTTTTTTAATGGCTAAATTGTGATATACTAAATAAATGACTGAAACCCAGGAACGTTGTTTATATTAAAATTCCCTGTTATAGATATACAATATTTCAGTATATTATTTTATGTTTATTACCAACTTTTTTCCATTTAGTCAATTTCCATAGTGTTTCAATTTTGCTCGAATTTTTAAGGATAAAGATTTTGTAAACGGCTTCTAAAATAGAAGATACAAGTATTATAAATTTCAAACAGAACCGTCCAAATGTCGTAGTAGACCTAGACCAAGTAGTAAGTAGAGATTGATTACTTGTGGAGACAGGAACGTGATTTTTCCTTTCGTAAATTATATGATGGGATTTGTTAATAAACTTAGTTATCAATGTAAATACAGGTGCGTAACTACTTAAGTATTTTGTTACATTGCATTAGGCTTTATAGGTATGTTAATGTTTGTCAGCAGTGAACAAAATTGTTGTATATGTTTAAAGCAATTTGCACTGTTTCACATCAACAATAGAATGTTGTTGTTCCAGTACATTATTTTTCGAAGACATTTCTTCAAATTTTGTACATGGCCAAATATTTCATCAATTTTTTATATTTATATCAAAATAGCTTCAACGACATGGCTCCATTTTCCGAACTTAAATTTTCCAACAAGTAAAACATATAAATTTTAATAATTAGCATTAAATGCACTAAAAATCAAAGTTATTAGAAAATACAACAGCACAAAAAAAATACATAACTAATTAGATAAATATTGAACACAAGTCACATACAATCTAAATATTTGGGCAAGGCTTTCGACTAATGAAGTATTGAAATATGCTTAAGGCTAAAGTAATCATGAAATGGATCCATAAAGCTTCCAAGCCACTGTTTTTCTTTGGGATCTAAGGTTTCTTGAATGGATGTTTAAAGATTAAACGATAAGATAGGATGAAATCAACGTTACTTTTCCGGACTGTATATTAGCTTTAATTGTTACTTATTTTACAGACATTCCAGAATTTTATATATACTGTGTTTTTTATTATTTTTTCTTGTTATTAAATAAACATATGTGCTTTTTAAAACAGTCTGCTCAATATCGGACCGATTTTCTCATATTTCCCAGTACATATAAGCTTAGTTTTAAGTTGGCTTTTAAGCTACATATAGCAGACATAAATATAGGTAGATTGCGCAAAAACTATGAATGCTACAAGATTTTACAAAGGGCACACAATTGTGAATAATTGATTAGTGCATCAAACAAAACATGAGTTGATTCCATCCACCAAATAAAAAGTTCTGGTTATTTTTTGTACCATGACACTCAAGAATTCACCCCTTGTCCAAAACGGCTGAACTCCATTGGTTACTTACTTTTTCTTTAAATGTTGTAATTGTTTCATGAACCCATCGTTAGGTTTGACAGTGGCTCTCGCTTGTTTCACTAAAGCATATGCATCGTCAAATAACAAATTGCGTTTAATAATTAAATAAGCTATCACTACTGACGCCGATCTGCTTATTCCAGCGTTGCAATGTACCAGAACGTTTGTTTTGTTCCTAACGCAAACATCTACAAAATGCATGCATTCGTGGAGGTATTTTTCTAAATCAGTTTCAACCAGGTCTAGAATATCTACAAATTTGTATGTTACATTAGGACTCTTAGCGAAAGGCTCAACCCCAACACTCAATACGAATTTGATGCTGTATTGACGTAAAACTGCCAAATCGCAGCAATCTTGCGAGCCCAAGTACAAACAGTCTATGACTTTGGCGGGAATATTGTCGGGTTTAGTGTCGACAACGAAACCAAGACTAGTTTCTTCTAGTTGTCTAATATTGTTTTTGAATTCAGCAAACTTCCGTCCATCTTCTAGTGTTATAATTGTTTCAGTACGCTTTAACTGCTGCTTTTTTTCTTGAAGCGCCGACAGTAAACTCATTCTAATGAGTTCGCTAAACCAATGATACAGGAAACTGCTGAAACACAAATAAACACAATATGTTACATAAGATTTTGCTTTATTGATTATAAGATAAAGTTTACAACGTGAACGTCATAAGGCCCATACAATTGGTTACTATGCTAACAGTGACTCGACATCAAAATAGGTAACCGCCAGAACCACATGATGCTTACAAGTATTTAATAAAGGCAACTTTTCCTCATTAATTATAGATAAAACCCCAATAATACAATAGAAAAATTCAGTTACGCAAAGTTTGCGTAATTGTTAAACACATTTGTACTGACTTTACTAACAAAAGTATTGGAATATAATATTGTCTGCATGAATGGATTTGGGGAACAGAAAAATATCATGGCGCAAATGTAGGTAGTTTGAAAGTATTTTAAGACCTAATGATGCATCCCTTTAACCCACTAAAATAGTTAATTACTCTTTGACCTTGACCGGCTCTTACTTCTGGACCGTTCTTTAGAGGCCTCTCTCGATTTGGATCGATCTCTCGATACCGATCGAGAACGGTGACCGTTCTCTTTGGACCTTGAACGGGAGCGCTCTTCTCTTGACTTAGATCGAGCATCTCGTTCAGCGTCCTTTGACTTGGACCTGTCATCCCGTCCATTCGCGTTTGATCTGGACCTTGAACGGTCTTCGCGAGGTTTTTTGACCTCCCTAGATTCAGACCTTGATCTGGATCTCTTGTTTGAACGACTTCTGGATCTCGATCCCTTATTATCCTTGCTCTTGGATCGAGACTTGCTCCTACTCTTCGATTTGCTGCCGCTATGCGACCTACGAGCAGACCGAGACCTCGATCGGCTTCTAGAACTAGAATCCCTACGTCTACGTCCACCTTTATCTTCCACAACTTTAATCCGCCTCCCATTCAATTCGGTATCATCCAGTTTCTCCACGGCATTTTTCATGTCGCTGCGACTGGCAAATTCCACAACGCCCTCGTTTTTGTGCTCACGATGAGCGTCTGCATACGTAACTTCACCGGCTTGACGCATGTAATCCTTCAAGTCTTGCCAGGACACCCTGCTGGATAAGTTCTCAACTATAACTCGGTGAGCTGTACGAGTAGGTGGTCCATAACGATCTCTACCGCTGTTTCGGTCTCGATCTCTTCCACGGCTGCTGCTACTGCTGCCTGAATCTCCCCATCTATCTCGTCCTCTCGGAGTTCCCCTTGCCCGTTCAACAGTCACTCGTTCGCCCATTATCCTCTTGCCGTTTAATTCGTAAACTGCGTCGTCTGCATCACGATAGTCATCAAATTCAACAAATCCATATCCAGATTTGATAGTCACTTCTCGCATTCGGCCATATCCCCGAAAAAAACGTTCTAAATCTCTTTCGTTGGTGCCGTAGGGTAGCCCTCCTATGTACACTCTTGAGCCAACCATTGTGGATCTCTCTCTAGGTATGTTTAACTAATCGAAAGCAAAATCTGTAGAGATGTAACTTATTTGAGCCTAGTATTCAATTTCGCACAAATACAAGGCGTAGCCTGGTAATGCCTTTATTCTTGGATTCCAACTATGCTTAGAAGGGACTTCAAGCATAAAGCGTATATCCTGTAATGATATCTGTCCTGTGCCTGCCGATAAAAGTGTTCCTGCAGTTCTCCTCACCTGAAAGTCAACAAGAAAATATTTTTTTAGTTTCATCGCATTTTATGAAACGTAGATTTTTCGGAACCAACAAATCTACATGAAAATGAATTTCAGTGCCTATTGGCTATATGTATAATTATTGGCTTATAAAGACATTAATTGTGCTGGTTGCAATTTTTGATCAGTTAGTTTGAATATTTCGGGCATTATTTATAATGTCAGGGCAATTTGAAAAGTGATTAAATTTACTTGCGATGATTTACATAAAAAACACAATTTTCTGATATAAAAAAATTTAGAAGCGTGTTTTGGTTAAAGCCGGATTTACATGTCAACTGCAAGAAATACTACTTTTAGAGTAAATATTGTGTGCAATCAATATCGTTTCAAATAATATCAAGTTGAAAAAGGGTGGTATTAAAATCGAAAACTATCATTTAAATCTTATAATATGCGAAGATTTACGAAAAAACTGGTTTCAGAGTGCAGTAACTAAATTTTTAAAATTTCCAAGGCTGATTCAAAATTCATAATCATGCAGAATAGTGTTAGTATTTATATCCTGGTCAAATCGCTTTAGGGTACATTTTGAAGAAGTCCCTTAAAGAGTTTGACCCGTGCATACATCTGGAAAAACGAGATGTAGATAACATCAGCTTCATAAGGAGTCACCAACAAACCTGCTAGGTTTGAAATGTAGATGTTTGTGCAGCTGAAGACATCCAGAAAATAATTGTTCTTGAAAATCAAGGAATCGTCACTGAAGATTGAATCCAAAGAATCCCAGTCCGAAAGCATTGAACTGATTTCCCTGTATGGAGATACCGAGAGTTCCTTCAATATACACTGGCACCAGAAATTCGAATGAGCTTTCCTGAAGACATTTGGAACGAGCAACCATACAAAGTAAAAATCTCACAGAAAACCGTATACTATTAGGATGACGATATTCGACGATTAAATCGACTCCGGTTATGACTACACAAAATAAGTGGGCAGTTTGAAACCAAAACTTTTAATCTAAGGATAAAAAATATTATTGTTACACAAAAGTGTAAAACAGTAGCCCAGATTCATACCTGTATAGTCACAGAATCAAAACCTGGGTTGAATAGCTAGTGGGAGTTAACCAAAGACCTAGGCAGCTGGCTGGATAGGCCTTTTGCTCATCAGGGTAACGGCGGCATCGTTTAAATGTTTCTTAAGCTGTAAAATGTCTATTTAGTTTCTCTTATAGTTCATGGGCAAATGCCCCTCAGTTGAAAAAATGCCCCCTGTTCAAAATTCGTCAGAATGAGTATGTACCAATGTAAAATTTCTATTCCAGAAAACAAGGTTAATTTTCATCCGCATTTTTTTAAATTCAAGTATGTGTTAGTACACTCTGGTAACTGTTGCCATGTGGTTATCAGTTCAGCTTACTTAACCTTTGGATTACAATGAACAATTACAATATATGAGTGATTTCATAATAGCGCTCAAGCAGCCATATCAGAATGTTGTCAATTAATGTAATCAAATTAAACTGTAATCTGACCAAGTGACGTGTTATATGAATGTTTGTTATCCTTTGCGATCATTCATTACTATCAATTTTTTTATGATAAGAAACAAAATAATTTACTTTCACTGAAACTAATTAAATGCATCTTGTTTTAGAAAAAATGAGAACTGAAACAAAAAATTACTCAAGTATTTGACCCACTTGGGATTAATAAATTAATAATTAATAATTAAACAACAAAGACCATCAGTTTTACTTTTGAGTTTAATTATTTTTTAATTGCAAACAGAAAATTACTTGACACGCTTGATCGTTTAGCCGACTTTAATCAAGTTTTAAAACTTAGATCCGTGCTTAACCCATTCAGCAAATTTACATATATATATATAAATAATCTTTATTTCCTACAGAAAAAGGCTATCGACCCAATCGGTATTTCTGCCCGTATTTAAATTTAAATTTACATGTAGTCTTAGATTTGATAAAGCGTATTTTTTCAAACCCCGCCAATGCCAATGTTTTCTTGTATTTTATGTAACTTGATAGATTTTACGAATTCCTAAATAAAAGCTAATAAATATCAAAATAGGCACGTGAAATTGAAGTATTTTACGAAATAATTACTCGCACAGGTAACGAAAAGAATAAATTTGGTAGCTTTAATAATTAAAACGATGATAGATCGATTTAAGTGTTTTGCTATTCTGAAAAACAATTAATTACAATCAACATTTTTAGGCAAAATGGGCGGACGGCCAACTTGGAGATCTATCGTCAGTGAGATCAGTCAAATTTTCTATAATCACGTGCTAGTTCCTGTCGTGGTTATTCTTACCGTCACAAATTTTATTTCAATGCTGTGTTGAACCCTACTTCGTAATCAATTATGAGTATAGTGTTTTATAATCTTGAAATCAATTTTGTATTTTATACATGTATACATATGATCAATTATGTATAATATACATGAAATACTGAAATTGTTAATAAAATGAGAATATTCGTTTCTCAGTGGCCGATAACAATAAGCATTTTTTATATATACGTAATTTTTTGCGAGAGAATTATTTTTTTATTAGCTGGTGTTCTCGAACACAGGTATGATTACTTTGTCAATTATTTCAAATAAGCTTTAATTTTATGGTTTCAAATGCTAAAATGAAAAATTATAACAATTCATACAAAAGAATCTGTGAATCCTAAGGATAAATCCGGTAGAAAATTATTTACCCAAAACTTTATAGTAATTAATAGAGAACGTTTCAAACAATTTTCGACCTCGACAAAAAAAAAACAAACAAAAAGTGTGTTTTTTTATGTGAAATTTGAGTCCGAACGGCTTTATTTGGGGCTGAACAAGGCTAATTGCCGGTTTTTAGTGCTGTTGAAACTATTTTTGGATAGTTCTGTGTTAAAATAATTCGTTTCTTCCTTCAGAGAATGGTACTTAACAAGAGTCTGAAGGAGAACTCAGTGCGTAGACAATTTGTGAATAATCTTCAATTATATTTATTTGCGTTGAAGATCATCAGTTACCAACAACGTTTATGTAAAATTTTCCAAATAACAACCGAAAAGTTAGTAGAGATCGTTGTAAAATGTTGCATATTGGGAAGCCGATCAAAGCAGTTGCAAATTTCCTTTGCTTAACCGGCTCAATTCAAGATTATTACACAGGGCTACACGCGATATTCTATACTTATTTTTATTTTAAAAATTATCAATGCATAAATTACGCCTATTATTGCGTGTTGCTCATTGTAGTCCTCAAAGTTTGTAATTTCTGATTCCCGACCGCCAGTTCAAAAGCTATCGATGTTTTTGAAAAATCCAATAAAATTTATTATTTGTGGTATTTTGCCAGTCTTCATACTGGTCATTCTGCTAACTAACTTTGAATGTGTTTACAAAAAATCTATAAAAAAAACTAAAGAGAAACAAAATGCAATAACATCGATTATACCACATCTCTCAAGAAAGGCCTCAATTCGGTCCAGCCAAGTCAGCCAAGGCCAAAGTGGTAGGTAGAGCCCTTCGAGGCAAATTGCCAGGACCCTCTTGAGCCCCCTTTAACGTGGTTCAGAAGTGGCCTCGAGCCCCGTTTTTGCATTGTAGCGCAAATTTGCCAAGTGGCCGCTGGCTGGTCCTCGGTAGCCATTTTGCTCGGTGCCAGCTAGAGAATCGGTCATGTTTATCAATAATTATTTGCGACCGTATGTCTTTAAACGGATATCTGTACGGCGTTTATGCATGCAATTGTACTTACGAATATAAATGTCAGGTAGTTGTTGAAATGTTCGAGCGAATTTCTAGACTTTTTCACTGGAAATGCAAACTGAAAAACATGTGGACAACGGACGCCGACGGAAATCATCAATGTGAAAAATGACAGACGACAGCAGCGCATAATGCCATGCTCTGCGCCGACGCTGAATTGATTATATTTCAGTGCCTAAACATACGCTCGACGGTTTTTTAGCCGTTAGAATTATTTCAAGCATTTAAAAAAATATTTTATTTATGCTAACAATCAGGCAAGTATCGCAAAGTACATTAAAACTACTCCTTTAGAGTTTCGTTAATCAATTTCTAGTTCTCTCTTTATCCTTTGTAGCATGTCTATAAAAGTAATACTATGTGTTAGACAAAGGACGTCGCTGTAATAGGCATACCTTTCCTTCTCAAATATAATCTTTAAACTATACAAATCGAACCAGCGCTGCATATTTCTTCTATAGCTCGGTTATGAATTGAAACAAGTTACACACAAAAATTTCCACTATACAGGGTGTCCCGTATCACATGGTAAAGAGGGAACTACGATTTTATATGAATCAAAAGATGACGATCTTGACTTCTGCTATTGATGGTCAAAATTCTTCAAAAACATTATCTTTTTTGAAATATCGGGAGAATGGCACCATGGATTTGGAAACACTTTCCAAGAGGTTGTACTCGGTAGCCTCTAATTTTCATTTTCAATTCTGATTTATATTAAATGCCAAAGAACATAATTTCAAAAAGTTACTAGACGCAGACGTACAACTTAAGCCTAATACAAAAATTTTTTAAAATTTACATAGTCATATTGTAATACCACTAATGGAATAATTCGTTTCCTGAACCCGAAGCACAAATAAGTTTTATAAAAATGTTTCATCAAAAACTACAAACAAGGAACATTGTGTTTCTAGTTTCGTAACACTAAAACAGAAGAATTAAAAATTTGGTGTGTTTGATTGATCAAAGCTCAATTTCAAATGGGTGTCTTTACCGCACCACAATTTTTCAGCGACTGAAAGTGCTGCATCATTGTTTCAATCTTATTCTTCATTTTATTATTGTGTTCACGTTACTGTTTTTCAGTGTGTTATAATTAGAGAACGAATTGGCATTCGTCGCCCATTAAATAGTTAATAAAGAAAAGATACACTTTGCGATAAAGCTAGAAGCTTCCATGGAAATCTAACATTTTGTCGACCGTTAACTGGCATGGAATTTTTTTAATTGTCTCAATAGAGTTTGTACTTATGTAACTAATAATCGGTCGCGGTTGTTCTTTAGATGTTGTTTGGATTTCAATGACTTATCAGAACTTACCATTAATTATCCGTATAATTTAACAATATTCTTACATGTAGTGTTCTAGTAGAAATTAACGCAACTTGATATAAATATGAAATAAACATAAAAGAATCTTGACATAAAAGATTTTTTTTATATACGGTATAGTTGAAAACAATTTAAAAGCCTAATTGTCTTTAAACTCCGCACATATCACCAAAGAGTAAATTGTACATTTTTGTGGATCACCTTGTATACAGGCCCTTGGCACCAAAAATCAAGTACCCCGGTGGTAAGGAAAAGGAACTCGCCTGAATCAAGAATTCCGATGGTGTGTTGGTAAAAAAAGTGTTTAGAAAACAGATGTCTATCTGCCGATAACCGCAAAAGATTTACAAATTTAATGATTGTAGATTATTACAGCGCCATTTGAAAGGAATGGAAAAAATCTTTATATAAAAGTTACATGATGGTTCTTATTTAAGATTTTAAAGTTGCTCCACCCACAAGGTCTGAAGGACGCGATTCATTTTGGTATCATTTGCTAGCTTATTCAAAGTATCAAATGCGGGTTTTTTTTATGTAGATCTAAAAATACGTTTTTTGAGAAATTTAAACGTTTCCATACTATTTAGACTCCCTGGAAATGTCTATTAGTGATTAGCAAATGATCTCTTCTTCTTGCATACATAGTCCTAGTCTTGGCCTTGCAGGAAGAGTCTTGCAAGTCTTGCTTTTAAATGAAGCGCAAAATTTTATAAAATGTAAGTATTCAATAATCCCTATAATGTAAATAAAAATAATAAAATTATGTCATAATAAGGGGCCTAAATGCCTAAATTACGCAAGGATATTAGAGGGGTGGGGGAACTATCTTACGTAAGATTTTTATAGATTCTTCATATTAGAAATATGCACAAATATTATTATTGATGACATAGTTCATAATACAACCGATAAAAGCTCTTGTTGTGGCTTGTGGTAGAATCACTTCCAGACTGGTTAACTTTGGATGGAAGATTAAAATAATTTAGACCATCAAAGATCATAATACATATATTAAATGATGAATATGTAAATAAATATATTTTTATCTTTCATTTAAGTAAGTCTTAATAAACGAAATAAAAAACTAAAATTATTACGTAATTTTGCGTGGGGGGGAGATGTAAAAACTGTAAAATCGTACGGATCCTTACATGAGGAGGTAGAACAATTGTCCGATTTTACCTTATATCTTATAACTTATAACATTGTACCTTATAATTTAGACACGATCCTTAATAACCAACACGTAACAATAAAATAATCTCAGACTGTTTGCTATTTGATTTCCGTATGATTCTGAGACTGTTCTAAACCAAAACCAGTCTCGTTCATCAATAATTTTTATGAAAAGTTAAGCACTAGGCCGGCGCCTATTTAGCATTTTTGAAAAAAAAACAAGATGAATTACTAGTAGGTACTTACCTGTTTGTACAAAAATCCTTTGCCTTTAAAATACATATCCAAAATTCTGTGAGACTGCTCTTTACTATTCTGAACTGCAACAGCTGGCCAACTATAAGGCCACGACACTCCAACTTGTTCTTTGCTGCGCTCAATGATTCGAATGCTGTCCAGTTTTTTTCTCGTTATTCGATCGGAGTCTTTGCTAGTTGCCATAAAAGTCCGGAAATCATGAAAACCTTCTAATAGCTTTGCCGCTTCTCGCATGGTATCCAAGTTGAAACTATTGGTACTAAAAACCATTAAATACATATACATGTAGTTGATTTTTTCAAATGCACCAATAAACCATACCTAACATAAAAAGCTCTGTTCGTTTCTTCAATGGGCATAAAATATGTTGCAGTTAAATCATTATCCTGTTTCTTCTCTTCTATAATTATCCGGTAGAGATAGGTTCGGGAAATCGCGTTGTATCTACAGTGAAAGTCATCAGGAACAATTTTGGTACTTAAAATTCTGATTGGATTATCCGATTTTATGAAAAATTTATTGAGACGGAGTGTGATAGCATCCGGTTCAAGAATAGCGTAGAAAGGTTGACAAAAATCGAAGTGGCAGGTAGTGTTTAACGCATGAACTGCGGCATCTGTCCTAAAAAGAGAAAACATATTATTTAACAAATGTCACATACATTGTTTGATAGTAAAACATACGAAGTAATCACACAAAGAATTACATAAATTGTTAAATGGTATGCTAAAGGATTTCTGATATGTCTGCATTGATGCAGCATTAAGCAGTGTAGAGCTTTTCCCTAGAACCAGACAAATTATGTGATCCATTATATGGGCAGCAGTTTTACTTTGAATACAACTGGATTTAAATGTAAAATATTACATTATATTACGAAATGTTGGCGATGGCCTTACCCATCTCTGACAACTTGCCAAGTAAATACTTTTAGGAAGTCGGGCTACATGTATTTTAGTATAAGTTAATTAATATCAGTATTAAGAACATTTTAAGAAATTAAATATGGATTGAGATCTCGAACTGTTGTATACTGTACATCGAGATATTTTGGATGCAGAATTGGATATAGCGCCGTTGGTTCGCTGCCGAACCCGCTCTTCGCTATGCCAACATATGTAAACGGCGAATCGCTTACGACGGACTATGCATACGGGCGTTAGAAATGCGAGTTTAATATTACGTTAATAATGTCGATTTTTCTGCAAGAAGACTGCAAACAATTGCCAATTTTTCATTTTTTTAAGGGATAAGTTAACAAATGACAATTAATTAAACTTTCGGCAATTTAAATAACTATATAACAATGATTGTAGACCTAATACTCAAATAATTTATGTCTTCACAAGCTCAATAATCAAATTTAATAAAACAATAATAATAGGATACAAAGTACCGTAGAATAAATGCACGGAACTAACAAACAAATGAGTATTTTGAAAATAATATATGTCATTTTTTTAAATAATTTTTTTTTCAAATTCATTTTCAAAGCTAATTTTCAAGTTTCCGCTAATGTAATATGAATGACTGTGAATAAATGTTAACTCATAATCACCATAAAAATTGTTTCTATCTAAACTGCTCAGCAAATATAGCATTACTTTGCTTCAAGAGATTTGGTTTCAGTTTGAAGCGCTATTTAGCCAAATATGTTCTGTTCTTTCTACAGGGTGCCAAATAAAAAAGTGCAAAATTTGTGAAAGTTTGGTATGTGCCTAGTTGGACAAATAAAAGTTGTCCAAAAGTTCAAAGATAAACCAAAAAGCTCGAAATGATTTTTGAATTTTTAGGACATTATATGTATGGTCCCAAAAAAACAGTAAACTTGATGGTATTGCAGCAATAACTTTTCTGATTTTGGTCCAAATTTTACGATCTATAGCTTATGTTGAAGCTAAAACTTTTTTTGACATATAAATTTTATCTTAAGAGATGTGGTGATGAAATACAACTCTTGTCCAACTGAAAACAATTTTACATTATTTCATTTGCCACTCTGAAGAAACATTTTTTAAAACACCATTTATTCGCAAAAAACACGCACTAACCGAAAAAGGACTGCACTAAATACAACTTCAAACAGAAATAAAATCAAAATATGCGTTATTGCCACAGAAAATCTAAAACAAATTTTATGGACAACGCGAGTGAAACATAAGATGGCATTTTGGCAATTTAAATGCCGACTCAGATAGTGATGAATAGGTGTGTAAATTTCCAATTTCAAAAAATGTTGTCGTCATTCCTACGTTGGATATCCGTAAATAAAAAACATAAAAAAAATAAACAATTAACTAAATATGTTTAAATCAGTTAAGTAGAGTTTCTAATTAAAACACATTTTTTTAAATATATGTTGCACGCCCATGTTTCACAATGAATACCCCGACTGTTGACCCAGATTTAGTTTTTATACTCTTGTCTTTATCAATGTTTATGCTGGTCCAAGTGAGATCGTATATATTTTATGAAAAGGTTGACACCCTGTAGAAATCCATTCAAATTTTACTTCTGTAACTTTCTCCAATAGACTTTCTAAACATCCACTATGTATAGGTTTATTGATTGAAATTCGGCCACCCAATTTTTACATCTAATTTAAAATTTAGAGAAAATATTGAATACAAAAGTTGTAGATATGACCCTCTAGTATATTTTAAGATAATAACAAATGTTACAGGGTGTCTCAAATTCAAGTGAATATCCAATATTGATTGAACTTTGGTCTCCCCGTTTTAACATCTAATTTGAAATTTAGAGAAAAATGTTAAATACAAAAGTGGTAGATATTAATATCTAGTTTATTTTCAGATAATAACAATTGCTACAGGGTGACTCAAATTACTTTTTTTTTAATAGAATGCCCGAATGTTTTAATGGTTATTAAACTTTTAATGGTTATTATTAACTCAAATACAGTTGAAGATCAATTTAGAACATTTATATCGAATGGGCCTAGAATTTTACAAATAGCTCGAATACGCCATAAAAAGTACAGCATTCCATTAAAAAAAGATAAGTTTGGTCTGCCACTTGACTTTGAAACACCCTGTATCAATTGGTGTTATCTTAAAATAAACTAGACGTTAATATGTACAACTTTTGTATGTAACATTTTTCTCTAAATTTCAAATTAGATGTAAAAACGGGGCAGCCAAAGTTCAATCAATATATATATATTTTTTTATTTATTTATTTCTTTATTTCAAATTACATTCTGATACATGCACATGTATAAAGAATACAAAATGAAATGGCGTTAAAAAACAATTGACAAAGGACATATTATACTAAAAGGTACTGTTGTTACATATTTAAATAGTCTCTAATACTATAAGGCTCTAACTCAATTAACATCTGTTTTAATTTATTCTTAAACAATTTTTCAATTCTTACTTATTGGTTATTAACTCAAAAACAGTTGAAAATCACTATAGAACATTTATATCGAGTAGGCCTAGAATTGTGCGAATAGTTCGAATATGCAATAAAAAGTACGGCATTCCATTTAAAAGAAAGGTAAGTTTGGTCTGACACTTGAATTTGAGACACCCTGTATCAAATGTTATTATCTTAAAATAAACTAGACGTCAATATCTACAACTTTTGTATTTAACATTTTTCTCTAATGTTCAAATTCGATGTTCGAACGGGACGGGAAAGTTCAATCAATAACCCTGAACATAGTTTTAACGGTCACCCTGTATATTACAAAATCTTCTCTGTACTTTCGGATCTTATTACCGTATTAAAAGCGTATTGGTAATTACCTGCTGGCCATACATACAACCGTGTCTCGAGCGGGATTAAGATATTTAAGTCCCATTTCGATGGCTCCTTGAACTGTTGAGAGCTCGTCCTGTACAAGACTGCCTCTTTTCGCTTGTCTTTGAGAGCCCCTAATATCAAAACCTATAAATTATCTGAATTTTTTCATAAATTAATTTAAAATACCTGAAAGGTGTTCCTATATAGGCACAATGAAGAAAATATCTTTTCAGGGACATGGTAATCCTACGTATATATTTATCTGGGAAAGCTTTCTTGCCTTAACTCGTGCTTTTGCCGGAAAATGAGGTTATGGGCATACTTTCTAGCGCGGTTTTAAATCTTTGGAACTCACAAATAAACTTTATTTAAATTATTCATTTAGTACATAACAACTTATTAAAAGATCAGAAACACAATCTCTTATTTACCAACCGCAGTTCGAGGGTTAATATTGCAAAGTAAAACTTCTTCAGCATCTCGATTACTGGAATCGACAATTTTATTGTTATAGTCCGATTGCTGTTTCAGCCAACTACTAAGTTTCGCCGAGTCACTAGTTGTAATCACAAACAACTCTTTGTCCTGTGAATCCAATTCAGTTCTAAGAAAATTCAGCAAGTCCTCTTCCTTAAACAAGATAAATAATATACATGTGTGAATGTCTGCATTTCAACACATTTCTTACATTCCCAATAGCAACTGGGTGCTCCAACTTCGAATCTAAGTTGTAATACAGTCCATTTAATAATTTAACTGCAATCCAATGCCTCCTTTTCAAAGGTATTGTAATGAAACTAAACTTGTAGTCTGTAGGTACATTTAATATAAACCCTGTAACATTCTCCAACTGGATACTGCTTGGATCTCTAAAATACGTTGAATGGAACAGTTAGAGGATAATTTGAATTTGGGACGGTAAATATACCTACTGTATTATGTAAAATATAGAGCGTGTAAATGTTAAAAACCAAGTGAAAATGTTGGGACTTTTCTCAATAAATAAGATATCAATCAAATGCATGTGTTAGGATCAACACCGAGTTCAGTGAATGGTTGAAATATTCACTGGACGAACGACTTTCTGGCAGCTACCAATCTACCAATGTTTGAAATGGCGCCAGGTTTAATGTATACTAACAGCCGTTCTGGATCCTTTATGATTACCAGAAAGCGAATTTGTTAAAAAATACGCTAAAAGTATTTCCCAAAGCAAGCTGAATCCATTCTGAATGCCATCTCATTGCCAGAGCAGCGCGTTGAGCACTCAAAGAAAATATTTAAAAGCCAATCTAATAAGGAAAATTATTTATTGTTTATGTATGATGTTAAAATTAGAAAAACTCCCAGAATCAGTTTCCGACCTATTAGTCCTTATCAGCTGGACTTGCTGGAGCTTGCAAATTATAAAAATATATTTTTCAAACCTCTTTAACTTGCAGGCTTTTGGATCTATCATTTGAAGCGAAGCTTAAGGGGGTTTAATTTAATTATTAATTTTGATTTATTTTCCTGACTGCGTGTATTTGTTATGATATGCTTATCTTTCCTAGGTCTCAGTCAAAGTGTGAAGTAAAAATTTTTAACATCGTTTATTTCATTACGTTTCGGCGAGACAACGCAATCATCAGATTTAAAATTTACACAAACTACAAGCACCCATTTACAATTAAAACATGTTGTATAAAAAGTATAATTTACAAAGTGTTAAAACATTCATCAGTTTCTGAGGAAAAAAATCCTTCCTTTTGGGAGAGCAAAACACCGGAAAACTTACTTTATGATTGATGATGTTTTAATTGTGAATGGGTGCTTGTAGTTTGCGTAAATTTTAAATCTGATGATTGCGTTGTCTCGCCGAAACGTAATGAAATAAACGATGTTCTAAATTTTTACTTCACACTTTGACTGAGACCCAGGAAAGATAAGAATATCATAACAAATTTCTAATTAATATCAGGATGTTTTTAATTTCAATATAATTCGTAAACGATAGCTAAACATATTTTCTATACTGAATTGGTTTCCGGATATTTTGTTGTGCTCTAGACCCGACGCACTGAGACAAAATTCAGAATACCTTCAGATTAGACGAATTATTTAACAACTGCGTCTTCTGGCCAAATAAAAAGGTGCAGAACACCTTCTGGTCTACATTAGGGCTCGGAATCAAACTCGAATAATTCGAGTATTCGATTACGAGTTACGACTAGACATAATTATTCGCTTTTCGAATACTCAAATACATCAACATTATCAAACTCACAAGATGCAAATATCTTTATACGCACTTTGTATACTTTTATAAAATAAATTATTCATATTCTACAAGCATTTCCTTATTTTATGGAAGAAATATGTTCAAATATTTATTTCGTGTATTCGCATAAAATTGAGGCATAAAGAAATTTGATGTGCCATACATGTTATGATGCCATTTGAAAATTTAGAAGGGGTGGCTGTGAAAAGTCCTGTATATTTACATGGTTTTTGATCATCACATTGAAATCATGTACTTACAATTTCTTCACTAGTTGGATACTCTAATATTCGTTGAATACTCAAATACTAGAATATTCAAATATGCGAATACTCGAATATTCGAATATTCGATTATTCGAATATTGGTTAGATATTCGAGTATTCGGATAAACCACTAAACGAGTATTCGAATTTCAGATTGGGATCTGTTTTTTTTAACCAGAAATTGTCGTATCCTTGTTAAAACATTGATTTCAGCTGCTCATTTGTTTATAATGAAAAATAAGATGCTCCAGTATTAGTATGTATTCATTTGCATTAGTGCTCTGAGTTTGACTACTTGCAAAAGCGCTCTATTCTATATCTTTATGTAAAATTTTTCGTTTCGCAAAATAACGTATTATTCTATGGCAATCTATCTTAAAATCAGCCTTAGTAAGTCAAAAGTTCTTACTTTCGTTTGTCAAACCAAATCATTTCATAGTTGCGAATTTGTAATGCACGCATAATAACATTAACATCGTAGTTTCCCAGGCCCAGTACAGACTTATGGGGATTTATCCAGTTTTCTGGGCTGAGATTATAACAGATTGAATCGAGTTCACTTTTGGAAAATGCCCCCTTTTCTTGAAATAAGTTATTCAAGGCATGAAGGGCACATAGCTCTCGAACCTGTTTTTCGTGGTAAACCACTTTCGCAGGGTTCATTCTATAATAATATTCCGTTTAATCTGTTTCCTATTTCACCCATTTCTGGGCCACAGCCACAAGGATAGAATTTGAAAAATAATAAACAACAAACACAGATTTTTGACAACAAAGTTGCAGAAATGGGGGTTAATGTTCTGTTAACTCTTCTTTGAGAAAAAGGATGGAGGGAGTGAGTGCAGAAATTTTAGTCCGCGCCCTCTATGAAATTAAACTTTTATGCTCTAATGGGGGCAGTTAATAAAACAACTGTTATAAACTGTTTTTTGGCAAATTCTCAGTTTTACATAAGAATATTTTTTTTTCAGCTATTTTTCGTGTACTCCATAAACACGCTCTATGTTCTATTGTTCTTTTATATTTTTATTATTACTAATAAAATTAAGTTTCGAAATTAAATTGTATGATTTTGTTATTTATTATCCAATTTTTGAACAGCTTTGTGAAATACATATTTTACAAAGCTACTTCACAAAACCTGATTTACAAAAATCGGGAAAAATTTGCTTTTAGTAGAGTCGTACTTTGATGTGACGTCTATCTTCTACTCCGTTTCCTCCAAGGTCTGCCATGTATTAGCTGCTACTACAGATTTCTAGAAAATTCAAACCGTTTCTAAAATAATAGGTACAAAATAATAACAGTTACTTATACTTAAGTGAAGTCTATGAACTTCACTTTAATCATATACATGCCATGAAAAATTCTGTTAAAAAATCGCAGCACTTTTTTTTTATGGCCGCTGCATCTTAATCCGGCGTTTATTTAAACAATGGATAGTTATTTAAACCTCAGTTAAAATATGTCTTGCACCGTCATTTTTATGGCTAATATTATCAAGATAAACCATGATTTAGGGATTTTGTTCATGACTATATTTTATTTAAGCGTAATTAATGCGTAAGTCGTAGAAGAAGTTTCCGTTTAACCAGCGCCGGGTAATGCCAGAAAAGATACCGGCATGGCGCATGGAGATTGCACTTTAATGTGTGCAGTGTCCACAACTCCAATTACCTTGGAGAAGCCAGAAATTTCGTAAAAACACAATTGAGTGTTTATCGTTTTAGGAATTGTAGGCCTTTTAATAAACCCCTGTATAAAACCCGGCTATTACTCTTAAAAACGTTCCATTATTCGCCACGCGCAGATGCGTGAAAATGTAGGTACGTCTTGAACTTAGAGTAGCCTGGAGCTGATTCATAGAAGATGGACGTGTTTCATGGACGTTCAATACGTGTTCATTCATTAAATTGAGTACTCAATTTAATGAATGATATATTTACGCCTCAGGCTCATAGTAAACCGCAGACGCATCCTGCATACACCCTGCATTTATGTATTTTTATTTAGAATCCCCTCACTCATTTGTAACATATTATGTTAGCCACAATAGATTAAAACATTTGACTAAAGGCAGATATCTAGAAAATCTAGATATTATAAATACGTACATATCATTTGGACAGTTTAATTCTACATCGATCAAATGAAGAAGGTAAAAAACACTCCTTATGTAGCCTAAAGCGCCTAAAAAAACGTGTAGTGGTCCATGTCTTCGAAATAAACTTTCATAGACCCGCCATGGCAAACAAAAATGTATTATTTAAAAAAATCTAGATTATCTTCTAAAAGTACTTCATCTTCCCAATCTATGTCCATTGCTTATAATTACAAATACTATTTGTAAAAAAGGAAAGTGATTGCAACCCCGCAATCCAAACAAAATACTCAAAAATTTAAGTTGAAAACTACAGATTACCGCTAATCCGTCTTCTAAACTTCCGAAATTGGTGGATTAAATATTTAAACTACACTTAGAACTAGTAAACCAGGTTTAACTGACGGTGCAAGTCGAATAGGCTTGATAAACCAGGCTTAGCGCTAAACCTTAGTTAAACTACAATGGTGCAATCGGCCATTAGACTTCTTTCAACTGAGCCTAGCGTGGCAACGTGGATTAATACTATCGATTTGTCTTTCTCTATCCTAATTCCCTTTCCACCTTAAACTTCGCTCGGCACGTTTTCCGTTTCGCGTCTCGTGCTGAGTACCATGCTTTTGCTTGTCGTTTCCCCATTCTTTATCAATTGCCGTTCGAGGTAGACAATCAAGATTTGGTTAAAATTCAACAACCACCTGTCGAGGTGGCTTAATGTGATTTTATTCCGCTTTTCATTTTTGTTTGTTTGGACAATTTTGAAGAAACGTTGTTAAAAACCTTTTTAAAAAGTGCGCTGAATTAGTTTTCCATTAGAAAAACATTATGGAAAGTACTGAAGGAAATTCGCTACAAGCCCTCAGACAAAATAGAGGCAAGGTAGATAGTGGTTTAACTCATGAGTGTGGTGTTTTTGCGGCTATCGGAAACGAATCATGGGAAGCGGGAACTGAAATAGCGCAAATTGTTTTAATTGGACTACAGGCCTTGCAACACAGGTAAATAGGTACTTATTTTCTAGTTTTGTCTTAAGTCTTTCAACATGTTTCTTTTGGTAATAGTTAAGATCACATTACATTGTAGTTTATTCAATTTTTAGCACTTATTTTAAATTGTTTTGAGTAATTATTTACAACTCAATCTGATACCAGGACTGCCGCATTGCCGATTATGCTCCTGTTGTAGAAAATCCTATAACAAACAACATTTTTCCTATAGATTTTTCGAGAAAATGCCGTTTTCCACCAGTTTTCCCCCTGTGAAATCCACCAATTTCCAAAACAAAACGCCATGATTGTTCTGCTCTTTGCGCCGGCGTGCCTGTCTAAATTTTTGGCGCAGTTGCCAGTACTAACTTTCGATAGTTAACTCGAGATTTTGGTAATCCTTTACGGTACGATCTGGTACTAGGATTGCCGCTTTGTCGATTAAGACTATGCTCACCTTATAGAAAATCTCGTAACAAACAATATTTTTCGTATAAATTTTTGGATTAAATGCCATTTTCCACCACTTTTCACCCTCTGAATTTCACCAATTTCCAAAACAAAACGGTCGCCATGATAGTTCAGCACTTTGCGCCGGCGTGCCAATCAACATTTTTCGCGTAGTTGTCAGTACTATCATTACCACTTCCTTAACCACCTACGCGATCAGTTTCGCTGAAACATTCAAACAGAATTAATTTGAAGATTGAAGAATTTGAGAATTTTAAAGTTTTAAAGTTGATTTTTGTTTGAAATTTAGTTGAAAGGCATTTTTGAACAATGGCCGGTCTTGCGACTAATAGTGTGTGTACCGTTGTGCACTGTAGTGACTGTAGTATTACTGAAACTGAATTTCACAAAATTCTGCTAGATTGCAACTCTCTGTTGGACTTCTTCTACAGGCACGGCGTTTTGAGTTGCCATTTTCGATGTTCCTG